TAGAAGAGTTTGTTGAATCTGACGTGACATGTTCGTATGAACCCTTTGTACGAACAAAAGTAAGAAATTTAGGAGAAGAATACGAACATGTTCTTGCATGAGGCCCATTGATTTTTACATGATATCCAAGAAATCCCAAAGGGTTCACATACTTTTTCATGCAACTGTACTTTCCCAGCTGTTGCAATGGGCAGCTTCCTGTTTTCGTGGCAACACGAGGGACAAACAGAAATCAGTGTTTTGTATAATTGAGTGAATTTTGGGAAAGAAAATTGTTTGATGCAAATAGCAAATGGACTGTACTTGTATAGCGCCTTTCTACCCAACCAGGACACTCAAAGCGCTTCACACTACAACCTGTGTCCTCATTTACCCATTCACACAGCACTGTATCAGATCTCCTACAAAGCTAACATGTACAATCAACTATGGAGACTAATCAGTGCCAATCACATTCAKRCACTGATGGGACACACACCAGAGGCATTGGGGTTAAGTATCTTGCCCAAGGACACAATGGCATGTGGGCATGGTGGGGAGTCAAACCTGTGACTTGCGGGTCCCAAAGCCGGCTGCTCTACCACTGCACCACAGCCACCCCCACAAAGCAGCAGAGTGTTTGACCATATGATTTATTGCTCACTTTCCACCCAGGAGCCTCCTTACTTCCTGCATACAGAAATAAAAATCCCAAAACTGTGACTCATTGTCACAGTTGTGAGGATGTTGGTCCAAGATTTTTAAACKGTTTCACAGGTTTCATGTTGCTGCAATGGAGAAGGTCATAGGAACACTATAGTTATATTTTGTTTAGAGAGATCAGTTTMATCTGGAAATATTAGACTGAAAGCAAATTTATGTTTAGGTGTTATTTGGAATTGGGATTTGATGAATTTATTTTACTGATGGATCATTTTTGTGAATGTTTATCGAACATTTGTAAAACCAGCTGTTGGAACACTGCTTAGCAAAAATCTAATTTTCCAATGAGTCACAAATTAGATGAGCTGTGGTGTATAATGGAAAAAAGCCACAGTGAAACTGGTCTCAAATGGTTACGTACAAGTGAAAAATGTCAGAAGCTAAATTGTAACATTTTAGTGGTTTAAAATGAATATTAGATACCTTTTTTTTGCTTTGTTTAAACCTTTCTAAAAAGTTTTAGTTTTACAGTCACAGAAAATGGATTTTTTGTTCAGAAAGTATTGAATTATGAACAGCGAAACAACAAAATGGACAAATTTAAATGGCACCGTTTTATATTACAGTGTTGACGTGTTTGTTTGGGAAAGCTACAGTAAAACGCTTAAGGATATTCTGCAGTYAATCAATCTTATAAAACTAAATGTTTCAATGCAAATCCAGTTACATGGAGTCTAGTTTGTTCCAGTTCACTGCAGTTACAGTGAAGTCCAACTTGAATTGAATCTGAATTGCACTCAGTACAACTTAATCCACTWGACACTGGAAAGAAACGACTCCTCTTTAACAGGAAGAAACCTCCAACAGAACCAGGTTGGGTAACAGTCTTACWTAACTGGTTTGGGGTTGAAAGGACAGGAAGAGTTCAAAAAAAAAGTTGCCTCTTTTCCTCAAAGGTATTTTGAATCAGAAAAGGGCAGCACTGAGAAGCAGTGAAACACTTTCAGTTTCACCAATTGAAAAAAAGAGTGGTGAGTTGCCTGCTTAATAGATCCACATGAGAGGCCCCGTTAAGTAATCAGGTTCACATATAGATTAAGCTGGAGTCAATCGTTCTTCAAAATGTCTATTAATTAATTAACTAATTAATTAATTTAATTAAATCACTGACAATGATGTCTTGGTTACATGCATAAAGGTGTGAAACTGCTGCAATGCAAACTTGTTGGCTTGTGTGTGAGATGTTTTGGACACATGCCTGAAGGTGAGAGTTGGAGTGGAACTGACTGGGAGTGGAACTGACTGGGAGTGGAACTGATTGGGAATCAGGTTTAATGCTGCATTGTAGGTTTTAGAAAGTTGAAATCTGAGACCTCCTCCTCTGTTTCAACATCTATTTTTGTTTCACATAAATGGCTTCCTTTTACACCTCTCGAATGATCTGTCCTGTGTCTGAAATATGAACATTCTGGTCCTCAAATGTATGTCCCCTTATCCTTTAAAATGTAGGTGGATTGTTTAGACTTGTTCTGAAGAATTGTTGAGCCATGTGTTTGTGGAGAGATTTAGTTTCTCCGATATAGAGATCTGAACATTCCTCACTGAACTGCATTCACCACACAGCTCAGCTTGGGTTTGGAGGTCTTGTCTTTAGGATGGACCATGTCAGTGTCCTGTTGGGTCTGAAATGTGCCAGGATGTTGTGTTTGCAAAAAAATATGTCCAGTGACATTTGGGATGACAATGTTTTTGGGTTTGCACYTTTCCCTGTTCTCTTATGCARCAAATTTTTATTTCTTTGCTRATTTGACAAAAGYCGAGTTTGGATATCCACRGTTTTGCAGGTTGAGAAACATGAGCATAAATCCAGGTATAATTTTGATTGAAGAAAATAAGAAAAAACAATTACAACCATGTTTTTTTGTGCCTTCTCCTCTCTG